GCAGGCTTGGTATTCTCATCCGGGTCCACGGCGGCGGCACTCTCCTCGGGGTTGAGGTAGAGCTTCTCCAAGACCATGTTGATCTGTTCCTTCTGCTTGGTGGACAAGATCTTCATGGCGGTCTCTGTGGCAGTGGGGTTTGCCTTCATCTTCCGGTACTGTGCCAGGCCGATCCTCAACACTTCGTCTGTCTGGTCGTAGAAGTCGTTGTTGCTTTTTTTCGTGAAGTTGATCGGACTCTCGTTGTGGAGGTGCTGCAGTGCCATCCGTGTCTTCTTCGGTGCCAGCATGCCGTTCGGGGCGATCTCAACCAGAGGCAACATCATGCTGCAGATGCTTGCCAACCACGGAGCATTTACCCCCGACTTGAAGGTAAGTCCTCTGGGAGCCTTCAAAAGCTCCCAAATGTCTCGGCTTCCACTGCCTTTGAGCACTTTGTTCAGGGCCCCCATGATATCCTCTACACCAATGCATGGATCGGCCACTAAGCGTCCTTTGGAGCTTACAATGGCCATGGTCCTGTACAGAAAAACTATCTACACCACATCCCTTGCTGCTTGAGCTGTGCACAAGAGATCTTCACAACATCCAGGAGGGGTATCTGGGAAGTTGCTTCCCCATTTCTATCTCTCAAAGTACCCAAAGAATCCTTCAAAGCTTTTGGGGGGACTCTCCAAGTACATGCCTCTCAAAGTAATTTGCTCTGTTATTCTGGAGTTCGACTTCTCTACAGAATATAAGCCAATCAAAACACAGGTTGCCACGGTCATCGAAGGCCAATGTGCCAGCTGTTGCTACAACATTGTGGTCAAGCACGCAATGTTTTGCACTGACCTACACATATGTAAGAACATCATCTGTCACCAGTCACCATCTTGAAACCCAAGCACATTCACCCAAGCACACCCTGTCTAGACCCCAAGTCCATCCCTCTCAGTCTCTCAAGGTCGCTCGACCACCCGTCTCTCAAGGTCGCTCAACCACATGTCTCTCAAGGTCGCCAGGTCCATCCCTTTCAATCTCTCAAGGTCGCTCAACCACACGTCTCTCAAGGTCGCTTAACCACATGTCACATGTCTCTCAAGGTCGTTTAACCACATGTCAACATGGAAATACATAATACAGATAAATACACATACTTAATATAGGGACAGGGAGAGAGTTGTACACAAATATCGCTCACATACAGCCTATACTGGCTATGTTATCAACATCAGTAGATATGTTGTATATATATATATATACATATATATACATATTTCCATACATATACACAAACATAAAGGTATACATATATATATATATACACACACACACACACCTCCCTGTCTCCAGTATGTATACATATACACATATATATATACACATACACATATACATCTCTCAGAGTCTCCCCAAGTTCGCTCAAGCAACGATGTACATGAATCAGTCACTCATGGTCTCTCCAAGTTCAGACATGAACAACTTGATGTGCATGTGTGTAGACATAACAGACATGTAGTTACATAAGTGCATATATATATATACATATATATAATTATATATATATATATATATATGTATGTCAATAAATGTATTTAAACAGCCACATCGTTACAACGTATACACACGCAACATACAATACAACATACAATACAATGCACTAAAAAGCACGGACACTAGCACATGCAGACATACCGACACAACTTCATATATAAGTCTCTATATGTGTGTATATTTATATATATATATATATATATATATATGTACATGTCGATATGTATATATATATGCACAACATAAACAAATGCATATAACCATCGATACATATGTATATATATATATATTTAGTTACATATTTACAACTCTTTTATATGTACAACAAAGCACACGAAAGGCAGCCCAAACCCCGACTCAAACTTCGACCCAAACTTCGTCACCTAGCCCCGGCAGACAGCGACACCAGGCAACGAAGTTCGGTCGAAGTTTCGACCAAACTTCGGCGCCAGAGCTGTGCCTAAAAGCTGCGATTATGGATATGATATCCTTAATCGTAGCTTTTAGTCAAGTGGACAATATCCATAATCACAGCTTTTAGGGACACAAAACATTAAGGATATTTTGTACCGCCCAACGAGACTATATATCCATAAATGAATTTTGACTAATAGTTAAAATCTTCCCGACGGTAAGATCGTAACTAATAGTCACAATTAAGCCTAACTCAAGCTATGGGGTGCCCATAGCTAAAGTGCTATATCTTCTGTGATTCCTTGAGTGATCAGAGCTATCCCGTGCACAGACGATCCACCGCCGGCCGTGAGTGTGCAAAACGAGCGAACGTCGGATCTGCCTGCATAGGAGTGCGTGTGTGGAAGTGGAAGCAATAGTGATCCAGTCTGTAGAGGGCAACCACGCCATTATTCATTACAGCTCTTTGTGGGGTGAGCGACAGAGAACATCATCAAGATCAAATCCCCACGCACTATATAATGGGTATATAATAGCTAAAGTTAAGGGTTTATGGGGTGTGGACGTTTGGGTTTTTTGGGGTTTTAGGGTTTTGGGGTTTAGGGGAATGGGTAGTTGAAAGTAGGGCTGATACGGCTCCTTTAAGGGATGTATATAGGGGGCTTAGAGAAGTTCCACAGGGGCTCTACTTTGAGGTTCAATCGTAGCTAGAAGTAGGGCTTCTAAGTAGAATAACTGTAGTTATGGCATATACTAGGGGACGTATAATCCCACTTATAGCTACCCATGAACCTCCAAGCAAGGGTTCCTTCCGGGATTCCTTTGTTTAAAGGTTCCGCGAAGGGTTCTACAGGGTTTAGGGGCTCAGGCGTCCCCGAGAAGGAATTACTCACAGGGGCTCTAAACCCGTCACGTTCTTCTGAATGTTCTTTCAGGTGTACATAGACATAGTCCCGTTCGGTTTAGGGTGTAGGGTTTAGGGTTACTCCGTCGGGGTTGTATACGGTTCCATGAAGGGCTTTTATTCGGGATCGCAAGCTATACTGTAGCCGATTGACTCACAGCGGACGCAAATGTCGGAAAATGTGCCGAATCGATCACCTGACGCCTTGACCCTAAACCCAATGCACAAATCCAAGACCTAAACCCTAAAGCTCTAAACGTGAAATTACAAGCCTCGATACCTTGGTCCCGAAACGTGCAGACAAAAAAACTAGTGTCAGCCGCCTTAAATCAAACGGAAGCCAAGTCTCATCTTGTCAGAAGGAGTATTACCGGGATCTTGCTGCGAAGGTCCGTTCAGGAAGAGGGCTTATTCGTTTGTTTATTCTACAGGGCTCTACTTACGAGTCCAAATTTCAGATAACTCCCGTACGCCAGTATACAGGACGCCTTATCATAACGGTATACTTTGAAGTACCATAACCTACTTTTTTGTAGGTTCTTATTCTGAACCCCAATATAAGAATTTTGATGGACCCTACTAAATAGTAGGTTTTTTTATGTACTCCAAATCCGAGATATGAGGATGCCTGGCTTCTCAAGGGGTCTACATTTAAATTTGGGTTTGGGGGTTTGAGGATTTAGATAGGGTTTGTGGTTTTATGGTTTGGGTTTGAAAATTCCGGGGTTTTGGGTTTAAGGGTCTTTGGGGTTAGGGGTTTAGGACTATAGGGCTCGGACATGACATGAGGCCAAGCAGAAGCCACTATGGAGAAGACCGGCAAGGAGGAAATGATCCGGCCAACCTGCACCCTAGCCTTGAAAACTTTCTGGGCTTAGGGTTTAGGGTTTAGGGATCTCAATAGGCGCCCCCACCCTGTAATAGTGGTATAACAGGAATATAATAGGGCCCTAATATAATACAATCCTTATGGTCACTATTACAGGGTGGGGCCAGCTTCTAAACCCTAGCCTCGAAAACTTTCTGGGCCTCACTTGGAGGGTCGGGGAACTTAGTAAGTAGGTAGTCGGTAGACTTATAAGTACCCTAAAAAGGGCCCTAATTGGGGTTATGGTACTTATAAGTCCCTAAAATAAGAAGTGACTAAGTCCCCCGACCCTCCAAGCAATAACTAGAATTAGGCTTTGGGGTGCACCATAGTATAACATGTAGCACAGCCATGCTTGGACACCCTAAGAAACTGTGATAGCCCTATGCAGAACGTACTGCATTGTTTTGGCTACTTTGGTTTCTTAACGTAATGAGGAACCTATCCATGAAAAGGTAGGGGGCCCAACACCTGCCCTACATTCTGAATGAGTTGTGGCGGTGTGTCGGGTTTCGATAAATCAGAACCGGCGGTTTCGAAACACGGATCCCTGGTAAAAGACGTTCAGGTTTGCCGTTCTATCGTTGGGGGTTTTCTGTAGAACCTTGTTTATTACGGTTTCAGTCGTTTTTTTGTATGAGGGTTGAACAGGGGTTGTGTAAGTGTCTTCGAATGCTCGTATCCGTTTGCGGGTTCCTAATGCTAGTTGATATTGAAAACGGTGACTGGTTCTATGCTCGGTGGGTGTTCAGGGTTGAGGGTTTCGGGGCTCAATTTTTAGGTTGAGAATTTATAGCCAAAGTTCTAGGCATTGTCACGCTTCAGGGCTTAGACACTAGTCAAACCCACAACAGTGGAAACCGCTTTGTGTCGGTAGTGGTTGTTCCCAGACGTTCCAAAATCCTTCAATCTTCAATATACCTGGAATTATGTCAGGGACCCTACCATGTTTGAATTCCCTGAACCTAACCCCTAAGCCCCGAGCCCTAAATCCTCTCCTTAATTCAGGGATTTTGGGAGGTTTGGGTTTCCAGGGCTTAGAGTAGGCTCTTGTTCCCTTTTCTTAAGGTTCTTTTTGTAACCCCCTTAAAACCAAAAAGGGTACCCTTTTGATTCCTAGGTTGTTCTGGTGTCCCTCAACCCTAAACCCCTAAACCCCTAAACACTAAGCCCTAAACCTTAAACCCACCTAGATCACCCTAAACCTTAAATTTTGGCTCAAGTTTCTTGAGCCCCGCAAGCAGGTCATGCAACCGGCAACCAGGGCCCGACCAATCGATGAAGGACCGGCGCTTCACGCTTGGACCATCCAGGCTCACCAAGTTGGAACTCGGGCACGAGATGCTTGATGCGATCAAGACGGTTGACCGCCTCCCGAGTCGGTTTTTCGTTGGCGATGCCCATGAGGCTGGTCAGTACAGCGTGCTGGTCTTTGCTGATTCCGTCTACAACTTTGACAGTTATACAGACTGGCCCAGCTGTTTAAGACTACCGGTGCGGCTATTGCCGTCGGGTACGGGATCTTCCCAAAGGACCTCATTTTTGGGCCAGGAGCGAAACTCTACGGGTATGACTATGTTGAATTTGACGCAATTGGCGATGACTTCAGTGCGCCAAAGCATAGCATGGTCAAGTGGGCCAGTACGAGGCGAAGCCGGCTATATGCATGTCAAGGATGCGTGGTCCACCATTTTGCGCAAGCAGGTGATCACGCACATCGTCGATGGCACGCAGGTGGTCCTGCAGGCCGAAATCGTCGTTGAGACTGGCTGCATGTTGTCGTTTGCTATTTCTCGTGTGATGGTTAAAGACATCCGCGCCTTGCGGAGCATTTCGCTCTTGCCGTGTGAGCGCTATGTCAGGATCCTAGACCTCTCTCGTCTCTGGAATCGTCGCACTCAGAGTTTCTGCGGTGACCGCAGGTATGTCAACATCTCGCACAATGTCTACGAGAGTTGCCACCTTTATCTTAGCTCACTTGCTCCCACCTCTAAGACTTACGCCAACCTTCTCAATTACATGCGCAAAGCAAAGGGTGGCATTTGGTTGGTGAGCAAAGAGCTTGTTGCGCCGTGTAACCTCGATCCACGAGATCATGAGCCGTTGGCCTTGGCTGTCTATGTTCGGGTCATTCAAGATGCATGGCAACATGAGGAGATCATCACCGCGCTTGTTGAGTCCCGCCCCAAGTCTTTTTTCGCGAGCCTCGCCGAGTACACAAGCGTCCAGGTCGACTGGCTCTCGAGCTGGTTCTCGAACATCTCCATGGTCCGTTCATTGGTTGAGCATCTTACCGCGGAAGGCATCATTCGAGGCCTCGTCGTCGTGCCCCCATATGAGCGCCGGCAAGTCGAATTCTTCCACCCCGAGGGCGTTGGAGGCACAGTCGCGCGCGAGATTGCGGAACAGGCCGAGAACAGCAGTCGACTCTCGAAGGTCGGCCGTGCCTTGCTTGCATGCTAAGTCTGTTGCGGCGAGAGTCGGCTCGGAGCATGGCGTAGCTGTCAGTGCTAATGAGCATGACGGTGTTGTCGTCACCATCCCCACTGCAGACGGGCCCGTCTCACAGGAGTTCACTCCCGCTGTCCAGCTCGAGTTCGGTGAGCCCTTTGAGGCGGACGAACACTATTGCCCCCGTTGTGCTGTTATGCAGGAACTTGGCGGCGAACAGCGGTCCATTTGCAAGCATTTGAATCGCCCGACTGTTTATGGCCTGCATTCGACGCAGGACGACGTCGCGCAAACTGCAGCCGATCGGCAAGGCCAGGCTGGTTGTTACACTGATGAGTGCCAAACCCCGGAAGCTCTTCGCAAAACGTTGAACGAGGCGGCGGCGCGCTTGCCGCGTCTGTTTTCTGCAGCATCATGAGTTTGAGCTGTGGAACGCTGGCCCAGGCACGGGTAAGTCGTACATATCAAGCATGATGTATCAACATGACACTGTGAGGTTATTGTTTCGCCTTTTCGTGCCCTCAATGCCACTTATCCGCCCCCTGGCCCTCATTTTCGGTATTTCACCACCCGTCGCACGTTGTCTCACATCGTCGGCAATTTTGACACGCTGTACGTGGATGAGTTCACTTGCTATGACTTTCGTGCGGTCATTGCACTTGGGTTCAACCACGGCGTTCGACGTAATGTGGCGGTCGGTTTACGGGTAGGGTACCCCTCCCCGCCCGACCAAAAAGTTTTGGTCTCTTTAATTTGGAACCTGTAGCCCCGGACAGGGGTCAGGGGTCTGAGTGGCAGGGAATTGGGAGGTGCCGGGGTTTGGGGGCTGGCTTTGGTGCAGGGTCTGCGGTTCTGCGCGACTGCGCGGTCGGGGGTCGGAGGGGTCTGGGCCAGCGCCTGAAAACCTAAACCCTGAACCCTAAACCCTAACGAATCCTAAACTCCTAAACCCTATAACAAACCCTAAACCCTAAGCCCTAAACCCTTCCAAAGGGGGGTCGGTCCAGATTCGACCCAAAACTTAATTTTTTATACAACCTTTAGTACTGGAGAGGCCTCTTTTGAGCTAGGGTCCAATCCCCGATTCGGCGGTTCACCCTAGCAGCCCCCCCCAATAATCAAGGTATAGTAGAATAGTAGAACCAGTAGTATTACGTAGTAGTAGGGTTAATCATGTGCAGTAGTACAATTAGGTAATCAACAGTAGTACGTGGTTAGTACAATAGTAGTACAGTAGTAGTACAGTAGGGTACGATTATAGTACGTAGTGACAAAGTAGTACAGTAGTAGTTACAATAATAGTCTGCAGTAGTTTACAATAGTAAGGAGGTGTATTTATTTTGGGTGTTTTTTTTTTTTTTTTTTGGGCATTTTTTTTTTTGGCGTGTGTGCGCGCTTGGCTTGGCTTCTCGGCTTCCCTGGCTTCTTGGCTTTTCGGCTTCTTGGCTTTTTTCTTCGGCATAGAGAGCCTCATAAATCAGTCCTTAAGTCACGCCCTCAACCCTAAGCCGAGCCGAGGCGAATTTAGGTCAGTAAAGCGGGATAGAGGTTAAAAAAAATTAAATAAGGATCAAAAAAAATTAAATATGGATCAAAAAAATTTAAATAAGGATCAAAAAAAATTAAACGGGTATCCGCGAAAGGAAGGGAAAAAGGAACGAAAGACAGAGAGAGAGAGAGAGAGAAGGAAAGAAAGAAAGAACGAAAGAAAGAAAGGAAGGAAGAAAGAAAGCAAGGAAGAAAGAAAGAAAGAACGAACGAAATAACGAAATAAAGAAATAAAGAAACAACGAAAGAAAGAAATAACAAAAGAAAGAAAGAAAGAAACAACGAAAGAAATAAAGAAAGAAAGCCATGCAAGAAACAGAGAAATAAGTAAATAAAGAAAGCTATAAGTAAAGAAAGAAAACAAAAATAGAGAACTAAGTAAAGAAAGAAAGCTACAAGGAAAGAAAAAAGAAAACACAAGGAAAGAACCAAAGAGAGTTGACAACTTAGAGAAATACCACGGAATCCGTAGGAAAATCGTATTTTCCCCAAGAAAAACCAAGCAAATCCTTAGGAAACGAAAGAAAAATGCAGTGTTTTCCCTTGGAAAAATTCAAGAATTGCTGTATCTAAAAAGCAAGAAAGAAAGACAGAAAGAAAGAAAAAACGAGAGAGAGAACGAAAGAACGAAAGCAAAAACAAGAGGAAGAACGAACGCAAGAACTAAAGAAAGAAACTTAAGGAAATACCACGGAATCCGTAGGAAAATCGTGTTTTCCCGAACCAAAAACCAAGCAAATCCTCAGGAAATGAAAACGAACCCGTATGAAAACAGTGTTTCCCCTGGGAAAAATTCAAAAATTGCTGTATCTAAAGAGGACGAAAAAAGGAAAACAGAAAGAAAGAAAGATAGAACGAGAGAGAGAACGAAAGAACGAAAGCAAAAACGAAAGAAAGAACGAAAGCAAGAACGAAAGAAAGAA